ATGACCTTTCCGAAGTATGTGATGTAGCATTCAATTTCCCTGCATCTGATTGATAAGCAAGCAGGAAATTATATCTTTTGCCATGGTAGACAAGCATAATTAAGCAATAAGGCAATGGAGGTAGTTGTGATTATCTTAGGATGCACCTGGGAGCTGCCTTGTTGCTATTTGAAACATCTTTATGCTAAAAGAACTGTATTAATTTATGCTGAGAAAGATAAAGTTTGTAGTTTGGAATGCTCATGAACAGCATTTTCAGTTGTGCTTCACAAGAGTAATATGGTGTCTTCACACCAAACAATTAGGCTTCTCCTTCAGTGGAAGCAAAGATATAGCAGGCTGTAAACATTTAATGGACAGTTCAGACCTGGGGAAAAAAAAGAAAAAGGCACAACCAAAAAACCAATTATGCTTGGGCAGGCTTACAAAGAAGTGCAAAACTTCTATTTTTACCAGTTTAGAAATAAAATACGTCACCCCCAACACTTGACTTCCAGGGAAGACATCTCTACATAATTAATACTATTGCATCCACATTCTAATTTATGCATTTTAATTATACCAAAGGCCTGGTGAATAATTAATGCTAACAAAACAATGGGTATGAAACATAAGATGAAAGGTATCACTTTTTAATAGGCTTTTTAGATTTAAATAACTAATGAAAGCTGTTTAACTGTTTGGCTGGAGACTATTTCCCTCAGTATAATCAAGTACTAATAATCATTATTGAGCAGCTTCTCAAGTGGAGAAATGTCAGCTTGGGCTACCTGTTTTCACAACTGGCTAATCTGAGTACACCACAGTATGCTAACCCACTGAGCCATATGCATGCAGGAAAGAGATTTATTTGGATGTTTGCCCTGTGGAAGGGACTGACATGTCATTGGCATCATCTGTAAGATGTAAAATCAAAATTCCAGACACAAAATTCCTCTTTGACCTCCTATCTTCAAGCATGTCAGTTCATGTAAGTTTCATGGGGAGATTTAGAATTGAATGTAAAGAAATACGTTATGGAATTTATTACCTCTGCGTTCATCAATCTAAGAATTAAAGGTGTAGGCTATGTTAGTAATTTAGAGCCTTGCAGTGGTTAATGGAGGGAGCACATCTGGAGAGTTTCATCTCATACTAAAAGAAGTTTTTGAAATAGATGGGATTAATAGTGATTTGGCACTGGCTATCACTTTTCTGTTTCTTACAGAGAAAGCTTATGGTACTGTCCTAGACTATACACCTAACTTCTAGACAGTCTAGCTTAGGTGAAGTTAATCTCACTAGCAATGGCAGCCTTTAAACTGCTGTGTGAGAAAGGTCTCACACTGACCTGAGGGCAGTAAAGTCCAAGGCAGAGCAGAAGGACTAGCAGCACAGCACTGTCCAAAGCTTGTTGTGTCACATTGGCAACCAGCACCTCTGCTGCTTGGTCAAGTCTCAGACTTGAAATATGTGACACTCATTAAGAAAGTCCTTTCATCTGTGAGAGGCTCAAAATGTGCATTTGTGTTCATCTGCTATGCCCAAAGGCATGCCTTGCCCCTTGGGTGTTTCCTGGAGCCATGCTGTGCAGCATGATGTGCTAAGAGCACGGTGTTGTGGATGTGCAGTATGTTTTGGGTTTGGTGTGCTCTGAGATTGTCATGCAAAGGGTGCTGAAAGTATGTAGACAGTAGACAGCACTGACTACATAGCATGGAAAGCCTGGTGGCATAAAGTACCCATTTCTTCAGGTGAATTAAACAGTACAGCAATTCCTGGCAATATATTACATACACTCAAGTAATATCAACTTGTCAATATGAATATAAATGAATAGCTTTTACCAACTTTTTGTTCATGCTTTCCATGTCAGAAGTTTTCTCTTTAAACCCTGATGTAAAAAATTTAAGAAAGTGTTGTAATAATAACAATAAAATGAAGGACTTGTAAAAGAAATAAGATTGACAAAGGCTGCTGCCAATTTTGAATATGAGGCCCCTTATTTATGTGCATTATTTGGAGCTCAGTAACTTCTGGCTTCTATGTTTTAAGCTTTCTCTTTTTACCTAAAGTCATATACTCAAATCAAAGTACTTGAGTCTCCAGAGCACTCACCCGAGTCACCAGGAAGACGTGAAGGAGAACTATGTAGGAACTAATTACATTTTCCCTGTTTTCAGCTATTTGTCTTAGCCTGGGCACGAGCTAGTGTTCTTGTCAGTGGTTGTGATCTGTGCCGGGTAGATGACAGCTGTATTCAGTTTGGGTGGGCTGAATGGCATGCCCCCTCATGAAGATGTGGGGATGGGCCAGGGTGGCACAGAAAAGGCTTTTGCTGAGGTGGCTCTGCTCCAGGGAAGTCTCACTCAGCCATAGCCAGCTGCTGCCTGGCCCCTGCTGCACATTTCATAGAAGGTAGAAAGCAGAACACACAAGAAAATCTGCCTTAGTATCAGACTAAACTCAATTTCTTTCTTCTGAGCAATAGTACCTGAAAGAGCAGACAAGCACTGGTGCAAACTGGGAGTGCTGCAACTGTTAACAGACTAACCCTGGTGACTTATGTGTTCTTCACTGCTCAGCTTTCCTGCCCTGGAGCTAGGGAGTGTCCTGACAGTATTCTGCTGCACCCCATTCACTCTACTTGTCTTTCTGCAGTACCTACACAAGTAGTAAGAATAATTATTCAAGAAATTGGATTATATTAAATCCAATTTAAGATGAAAATCTCCTTAGCATGTATAGCATGGAGCCTGGTCATCTAGCAGTCCTCGTCAGTCTAGTAGTTTTAATGTGGATGACAAAGTAGCTGCTGAAGCAAAAGCTCATGATCTCCATCAAGGTGTCTCCCTCTGCTTCTGCCTTTCCAGGACTATGCTGAGAAGGAGAAAGCTGCAGCCAAGGCTCTGGAGGATGTGAAGGCTAACTTCTACTGTGAACTATGTGACAAGCAGTACCACAAACACCAGGAATTTGACAACCACATCAATTCTTATGACCACGCTCACAAGCAGGTAAACCTGACAAATGTGCATGCATGTTCAACAGTCCACCTTCCTTTCTCATTGATTACGGGAGGTTTCTAAGTTCACTCAAGTAGAAGACAATTCATCATTTGATGTTTTCAACTTTAACATGCTATTTTTCATTAAAATAAAATGTAAAATATTCATTGTTTTATTCTTCACCACAATTTCTCTTCTGACTGAAAGATCTCCATCTGTATCTTTAGACAGGTGTTCAATACCAATATTCACACTGAATTTGATATATTTAAATGTGGAATTACTAATAAACTAGAGGGAGGGGAAAGAATCACTTTCTAAAAAATCCAGGTCCCTCTTTTGGATGCAGGGGGCATGTGACCATGCTGTTTCAAGCTGTTCATGCTGTTTCAAGGGCAGAAGAATAGTTTATTTTTTTTAAAAAAAGCATATCTTTCTGAAGTTTAAATCTATTTCTCATCATGTTTCTCAGGGTGGAATAAGTTTTTCCCTTGCATGCAGAACACAATACAAAACAATAGCTATTATTGAATAACAAGATATTGGATTCCTGACAAAAGATAATACATGCTAATTGTCTTTGGTTTTGTATGAATTTTATCAGGTCCATTTGTGGTAGGTATGTTCTACCCATATATGCCTATTAACCTACCCTGCATCCTAGTTTTACTCCAATTTTAGCAAAAACCTGTATTTCAATTGGCGTTATGGAAGAAAATATAATTAACTCACATAAACAATTCAGAATTCAAAGAGAATGGTTTGCAAGTTCAGGAATGAACATTTCTGAACCTCTCATGTGACAGGTCTTAAATGATAAGCTAATATGTAGGAAGTTAGAACATGTAACTAGATTCCATAGATGTATTCTCCTGTGTCTCTAGTAGTACTTACATTGCACAGCTCAAGTTCTCATGTATTGTGTGCATTCCAGTTACCAGGGTATTAGTGTCTTTTGGGTAATTACACTTCTGGATTCATGGGGGTCAGGAGCTACCTTACAAATATGTGAATCATTTAGAAGTTGCAAGTATTTCTGAAAAAGGACTAGAAATAAAAAATATTGAGTAAACCCAACAACAATAAAGGTAAAACTCCTTACTCTCTCTCTGCAAGCAATTGTGTTGTCTTTTGCAGTGTTATAGAGGATGTAAATCAGCCTGGAATTCTCTGTGTGCATCTACCACAGCACTGCTGAGTGTATGTTCAACCATCATGCTGTACCATCCTGCTGAATTCAAGCATCCTAGATTCAGCTTTCCATGTGTACTAAGGGGACTCTTTTGGCCCATCATTCCCAAACCACAGCTAGATCCATCTAATGTATTTATTCATTAAATCAAATGCAATTCCTTGCATCACCATCTCATTAACTAATCTATAAAAATGGCTATGATAATACAAAACAAATGCCTTTCCAGATCATAAACATGTGACTCTAATCCTTATAAGTCCTCACTTGCTGCACAAGGCTTTTTTTTCGCCATTCAGCTGGTTTTTTTTATCTCATCAGAAATACATCTGAACTCAAATGGATCCATTTGTGCCCTTCCCTCTTCACACAGTTCCCCTGCAAGAGCAGCTTATGCAAAATAAAACAGCCTGCTTGATGCACCTTCTATGACTGAGTTGTTGGGCAGAGAAGGTTTTTTCAGCTTTATGTCTTAAAAGGGAGAGTTTAAGCAATAAAACTTTTTAATTTTTAGGTAAATATAATGCTTTAAAAGTTGCCGGACATAGTACTGGAAACTAAAATTCTATGCAGAAATGCACAATGCATACAGGATATCAACTGGCAGTACAAACTCACCCCATCCTGCCCTTTCAGATGTAGTTCAGAAACTCAGTTAGCACAGGATTAGCTAGCTACCCTCTGGATGTTGACAAGGTAATTCATCTCATCTCCCTTCTCACTTCCTGACTGCTCAGCTAAGTCTGGAACCAGCATTAGTTTGCCTCTAGGAATAATATGGATGTGCCCTTTTCTCTGACTTTTATAGATAGAAGAATCTTTATTCTTCTTACTTTTATCAGAGTAATCTTTGAAGAAAATAAGTTAATTTATGGTTTCCTGTGGGTTTAGTTAGCTTAATTTCAAATTGTGTGTTCTGTGAGGAATAGTAGCCACCAGAAAAGCTTCTTTCTTCTCTTTCTTCTAAGGTATGTATTCTGTTTCCCAGCAGAAATTTGAGTGTACCTTTAGTCATGTGCATGGATATGTGTTAAATACTGTTCTTGTAATGGGGAGTAAATTAAAATGAGAGACTCTTTACATTTCAGTAACAATACAGTGTAGTCCTCCCATGTGAATTTCTATTTAAATGCTACTGCTTTGGAATTTGTACTGAAGTGGCAAAGCGGTTTAGAGAAGATATAAAGGCAGAAAAAATGATATTGCATGGAGTACTTTGTCATAAGTCTTTTGTTCCTTTTTCAGAGGAAACAGATCTTATTCAAAGAATTTTGACTCTAATCTCTCAATATTATGGTTTTATAAAATGATTTTTATGATCCGTTTTCTTATCTATGATTTCAACCAATTGTTAAAGCAGAAAGTAGAGTCTCGGACCTAGCAGCTGGCACACCAACCATTGCCTTCGCTATCCTCAGAGGACTGCAAAATGTTAGATGGCAATCTGTCCTTGCTTGCATAAATGGCCTTTCTGCTGTGTTAGAAATATGCAGAGACTTTCTCTCTCTGCCTGCTACATACATTCATACTTATATATATAAAAATATTAGTTAAGTATGTGTACATATATACACATGTATACATACAAAGAAAACATTGACAGAACACCAGAGATCTCCCCTGCCTATATCTTCATAATCTTCTAACACTGTAATGACCCTGTAGGTATCTAATATTATTTATATATTCTTGAGTAATATTGTCTGAGTATCAAGCAGCTTTTATTTCTTTGGTTGTCTTGACACCATTAGTCTTAATTAATGTTGCCAACATCTTTCCTGACACACTACTCTATATAGTTTTTAACTGATACTACCTATTATTGAAAATTAATTTTTTTCAGTGGAAGGCTGGATAAAGTGAACTCAGAATTTGTTTGAGTGAAAGGCTGCACTCCCACCCAGCTGCACCTGAGTTCTCTGTTGTTAAGCCTGATATTGACAAGGCTGGGGCATGACTGTGAGTGACTTTCCTGGGAGCATCTAATCTTTCATCACCATACAGGCCTGTGCATAAATGTCTCATTGGCCCAGCATATACCAGCTAACCCACTTGAAATCCACAGCTTTTTTAGCTATGTGTTTTTCCTTTCCTATGGAATCTATGGCTTTATAAAGTCCTGAACAGCAGGTCACAGGCAGTAGCACATTTGATAAATCTGCAGTATCTCTCATCAGCTTCAAGGTGAATGATGTTTACTATCACTTGCTTGCCATGTTCTCTGCAACAGAAGTTAACTGCATCAGAACTGATTATGTTGGCTCTTTCAAAACTGTCTGAATACTGAAAAGGAAAAAAGTCCTGGTATGAATTTGTTAAAAAGTGATTAGTACATAGATAACATAGGTGGCTGCCTGAAAATTTAGTATTTATGGATGTATGTTACATGCTAAGCTGAAAATAAGATTTTTTTTAACAGGGTTATTAAGTTACATTCATCTATAAAAGGAAACCAAACTTGAGCAGAGATGTTTATTTGGTTAATGTTATTAAATGGAATCTTTTAATACTTCGAAGTCATGCATAGCATTTGTCCATTCAGTTAATGTCAAAGTAGTTGGAGCTCAATTTTTGTATAAATAAACCTTAGCATTCAGCAAGGCTTTTAGATGTCAGCAAAGAAGAAAATCACAAACCTGTTCCATGTACTGCAACATAATAAATGTGATGATAATAATAGTAATAATGGAAATGAGCAGTGAAGAAAAACAAGACTGTATTGCCATCTTGGGGTTTCTGGTGACAAAACAGGTCTTTTAGTTTTGTTGTCAAAATTCAGGTGTACAGTTAAATATATCACATTCTCTTCTACGAAAAAAATCTAAATTTTAGTAGGTGAACAGAACTTTCAGTCAACACTAATTCACATGCATGTACTAAGGATACATACTTATATCTTAGTATTAAAATCCATGCATGCCAGTACTTGGGTATATTTTTTGCACGAAAGTCTGAATTAGGTTGTACAGCTGTGGGCACTTGCCATTAAGCCTTTATGATACTTGTGCATTTAAACTCTAATGCAGGCAGAGATATAACTCCTCTTAAACATCAAAGCTAGCAAATGTGCTTACATTTAGCTAGTGTTGCCTCTACCACCTAGAAAATGCACAGGTAAGTGAACACAGAGAAAGCTCTGGGAATGAATGTAATGCTGAGATCTTGTTTGTTCATATTTGGGGTGGTTTTTACAGCAACTGCATGTTTATTGGAGGAAAAATAAGTCCCATTTTTTGGCTCTAAGGTGTACCTCTCCTATTACCCAAACAAATTTTCATTTGGAGGAAAGAAAACTGGTCTGGCAATATCTGGTAGATTTCACCTTGGGATCTGGGCAAACACGGGAATACCAAGAAACCTTCTTCTGCACAAAGTATCATATATTTAGCTGTAAGAACACTAATCAAACTATTCTGACAGAAAGGGCTACACCAGCATGAAGGTCCACTACAGTATGTGCATGTGTAGTCCCTGCTTTTTTCCCTTGCTATATATATGCATCCACTGTCCTGCTTATACTTCCACATGCACAAGGCTAACATCCTTCCCTGCAGCCCCTGCTTTTGTTTCAATGCTTCAGGACACTGGCTATTAAGTAGGGCCTGCTTTTATAGGGCCATGTTTTGCACATGAGGTCTATACTCCCTGTGGCCTCCTCAGAAAATAACCCGAATGGCAAAAGACCTCAGTATTTCTTGCTCTCAGTTCATCTCTAGTTAAGAGGTGCTGTCTGCAGCCATCAGCATTCTGCTCCTGTAAACTCAAAAAAAAAAATCACCTTGGTTTGATGCTTGTAAGAAATACATGCATATTTTTA